ATGCCCACATCCTTGCGCTGAAAATAAAAGACACGGCCCAAGAAGACAGCATCGACCAGGACCGTACTGTCAGTCCACACAAGAGGGATGTGAAACGCAGTTACACCTCAGAAGATGGAGCAAACGCAAATGTGATATTGTGTCATTGTTTGGCGAATTTGCAATTAATGTTGTGTGAGGTTACATTATGGTGTGATTTTGACATTATTTACTGAAAAGACAAACTTCCTGGTTCCTCTGAGGGTTCAAAAATATTCTTATACACATTAAATGCAGCACAGATAATAATAAATAATATTATTTTTTATATTATACATGATTATAAACAGATCTGATCTGTGATTGGCTGCTTGTTTCATTTATTAGCAGTCTGATGTAAAGGTGAGAAAAAATTGAGTGTCTTTAGAGTCATTGAAAGACATTCCACTAAAGCAGGGGTGTCAAACTCATTTTGGTTCAGGGGCCAATACGGCCCAGATTAGATGCCAAGTGGGCTGGACCAGTACAATCATAAGATAATTACCTATAAATAACAATGATCCATGTTTACCCTTTGTTTTCCTGTAAATAAGTACCAGTATATAAGAAAATATTCATATTTGATGAAACATAATTTGACAAAACATCACCAACATGAAGAGTTTGTGCATTTTTTCACTTTCAAAATTCACTAAACGGGCCGGATTGACCCCCAAAGTGGGCCAGTTTTGGCCCGTGGGCCCTATGTTTGACACTGCTGCCCTAAGGTCTTTAAAAATTGTGATTATTTAAATTCCTGCATTAAGATTTGAAAGTTAATTTATATATATTGCATTACCCTGTCTCTCCTCTAGGTGCTGGTTTCACCCAGGTATCCGGAGAATCAAAGCCAGTGTGGGGATCAGAGGGACTGGGGCTCATCACAGGGTTTGACTCAACGCCACTCCCTCAATGCTGCGGGTCTGGCACTCTGCACAGGTGGAAAACGGAAGAGAGTGAGTGGGTAATCACACAAGGGTGTTGGCTGCATTTGGCCCGCACAAAAAAGAAGCAGCCCAGCCCACAACTATGGCCTTCTTACCAGCTCCTCATGTGTGGGTTTTTGAGACTGTCATCACAGAGTCGCTGCAATGAGAAACACAGATGCGGAGAGAAGAGAGGAAAGAAGCAGGGCAAAGAAATGCAAAAGTAAATAGTTCTCTCAGTCGAAGACTGTCAGAGAGAGAGAAGTGTTTTGGTTTCACGACGAGAGCGAGAGTTATTCTGAGACGACAAAGTAGTGTGCAAATTTAAAGTGTCACAGTGGTTAAATAAATATCAACAAACACACTGGACACCTTTGCTAGACCGGGCGTCCAAATGGAGAGTGAGCAGATGCAGAAAAATACATTCAGGACACACAAGATGTGTGTGTGTGTTAAACTGTAGGTGTGTGTGGCCCAAGGAATAGTATCATAACCTGGAGCATTTACACTGCAGGAACAAGGAGGGCAAATAGAACCAGGACTGTTTGGTTTGAAAATGCTACAGCTAAAGACTTAAGGCTTTAGGTTTACAGTTATTGGACCATTTTTCAAAAGTAGAAAATGACTGATTGATTAATGATTAGATGGCAATATACAGTGTTTAATTTTATTTTAAATGAAGGCTTTTGTTATGTCCCTAAAGGGAAAATTATGAGTTTTCTCACAGTTTGTTAATGTTTTTGATATTACATATATTTACAACAGACTTTATTTATTTGGTCGATCGATTGATTGAGTGATAGATCAGGTCAGGAAATCACTACCAACATGGAAAAGTGAAATATACTTTCTGCTGAAGATTAACCTATCCCTTTTCCCGGCCTCAAGACTGGTACTAGAGCACTGTTTCCCAAAGACTGGGACGCAACCCTCAGGTGGGTCGCAAGAGTTTTTTGGGGGGGCCGTCTCGCATCATGTTTCCCAGGAGTTTATGAATAATGTCTATTGACTTGGGTGGCGAAGGTTTGTGACTTTTAAAATATGGGTACGTTTAGGAACCCCTGTACTAGAGGACTGGGGTAAACTTAGAGGTAATAGATTAGTATCCAGGAATGAATCAGCAAGTAGTGGGAATAGAATCCTCTCCTTCGATTTTAAAAACACAGCTCAGTTTAAGGTTGAGCAGCCACAGATGCAGACCAAGTCATTTTTATGCAAATCATCTTTGACTTGAACCAATCTGTCAAAGCCTCACCCTCGGGGGTTAGCCACATATTAGCCGCAATATACTTCCCTTCCGTCTTTAAAGAACACTGCTGCGGCTGTTGTTCAGAGAGAGGTGGAAACAGGCTGGAGGCTGCTGTTTTCTTTGCAAAAACACCTGTCTAAACAGCAGCAAAGCCAAGGGCAAGTCTCACCTGTCAGCATCAGTGACAGCTCTTGACAAAAAATTCAACAGAGATAATTCCTAAGACGTCCACTCAAGCGAGACAATGCACGTGCGCTGGAGCGACCTCAGCTGCGTAGTCGGTGGTTCTCAGCGTTGTTGAACAACAGTGACAAAATACAAGGTGTTCAGTACTTTCCTAACACGCAGTACAAAATGTATGGTATTTGATGACATACACAAATTTGCAACTCCCCCTTTAGGTCACCAGAGGTTGGTGCAGCAGTGGTTCTTCCTATATTCTCTTTCATTGGTCAAGGATGGGTTCCTGACCAATGAAGAAAAGAACCAGGTTCTAGTCTGTTCTGTAGTCCATCACAGGGCCACAGGTATGGAGACAAAAAAACACTCGTCCCTACGCCCAGTTTAGAGTTTCCTAATAACCCAGTGTGTCCAAAAGTGAGGGGCGGGCAAGGAGAGTGGGGGGGCATATAGATTTCAAATTCTGTATCATCGTTAATTTTTTCTATAGGGAAACTTGCACTGATTTGACATTTTTATTGATGTGTTTAATGTTGAATTGTAGTTCTTTTTTTTAATGAAGTCCAGTGGAGATTTGAAACATTGGGGGCGGGGGGTTGGGGGGGTTATGACTGTTGGACAAAATGCATCAACCCATACAAAAGAACACAAAAATGGACATAGTTACTGGTGCTGTTCATAGTTCCTGCTCTGGAAAATCACCGCCTAATATATTCAAGAGAAAAAATGGATTAACATTAAATGTTAACATGCAATTGGACAAAAATATAAATATATATTTAATAACTAAAAAAAAAATCAAACAGACAAATTAGACATAGACAGTTGTCCAGTTTAGCCATTAGTTAGTTTCACCAAACAGTGGCTCCTAGCCGTTAGTTAGTTTCACCAAACAGTGGCTCCAAAATATGTGCAGTTTCAGTGAGTTACTCATCACTCAGCTTTTGTTCACTCCTCCCCACATCTGCGCTCCAGTGTCACTGTCATTTTTCTCCGGCTGATGAGAAGGTGAAGCCTGTGGAACAGGCCCGGGAGCTGCTCATCTGAGCAGCACATGACGGGAGCCGGACTATAGCAAATGAGGCCGTTACAGATTAAGCATCCATGTGTTGAAATTCAAGCATAAGACTGAAACCTGACCAGAGCAGAGATCCTGGGGACATACAGACGGACCTAAGTCTCCAGCATCTAATGAGCCACCTGGTCTTTGTTCAGTAAATCTCCCCTAAATCCACACTGGACAGATGATACGAATGGCTTTAATAAATGGTTGTAAGCTCTATTAATTCATCACTTAAACATTCCAGTCTTTTGTCTCTGGCACACCACTGTAAGAGGCCTTTTTTTTTTTTTTTTTTTAGTCGTCACTGAAACCGATCGAGGATTAAGAGACACAGAGACACATAATGAAGTGCATGTCTTCTAGCGACTTATTCACCATTCTGAGTCAATGTGTTCACAATACGAAAAAGCTTCTACGGCTAAAGTCGTAATAAAGATAAAGAAATAAAGATCGATCGATCCGTCCGTCCGTCCGTCCATCTTCCGTAGCATGAACGTTATTTACATCCTCAGAAATGTCCAGGTATTTCAAAACATTTGATGGTTCCTAAACCTACAATGCATCAGTGTATTTACACAAGCAGCTCAGAAAACATTTCTTGGCTCGAAGCAGCATTTTATTCAGAAACACAGATGTGTCGAACTATCTGATATTTAACTGTACATTCATAAAGATTTTCTGATAGTAACCATTGTTTTTATGGTTTGTTTTTTTTACAGTCCAGACTTATTTATAATGAACCGCGTTAAAACATGTCCTGCCTTTATGCACAGAACGACTGTGTGGACAACAAAACATAAACATCAACTCCCTCCTACCTGACTCACTCTCTTAAACCTTAGCTAAATACAGCATCCGGAATGTTCACGTCTGTTAAAAGACTTCAGACTAAAAAATAACCCAATGCTCTGCAGACATAAAAGGAAACGAAAAGACAACAGCTTGAGCAAAATATATGATTTAGAAAAAAAAAAGACAATTAAGAAAGTCTAAAAGAAAGTCTAAAAGAAATACAAAGGATTACTTGAATGTGAAATGCTTCCATGTAAAGTAACAGTACATAGTTTACATCACGGCACTGCTCTGCTCCGCTTGGCAACATGAAAAAAAAAACAGAGTCGAACTCCGCTTGGCAACATGAAAAAAAAAACAAACATTCAGTGCACTATCATAGCACACTGCAAGGTAAACTGAAAAAACTGAAAGTACAGTAATGCACTGCAGCATTAGAACACCTACGATGAACCCGCTCCTCCATGGCCTTCTACATACACTGATATACTTCTATCATTATCATTAATACATGTAAATCAAGCAAAATAAAAATCAGACAAATGGTCTGATGTTTTCAGATAGTTCATATTGATTTTACTTTACATCAAATCACCTTCGGCCTTTGCAGATTTTCCAGAAACTAGTAGGTTTCTATTTACACGTGTGTGTTGAAGTAAATGAGAATTATTTTCTACCACTCAGGATAATAACATGGATGATTTGGATGAAAAGTCACAGCTGTGTACAACAACTGACCGACTCTTATTATTAACACAGGGTCCTAAAAATAACCCCCCAAAAAGTGAGTCTTTATTTATCAAAAGGAATTATTGAAGTGAAACTCTAGCTGCAAGTAAACTAAAAAAGAAAAAAAAAAGGAAGAGAAAAGATGTGCTACTTTTTCTTTGTGGTGAATTCTCCTGAAACTTATTTCTGCCAAAAATCAGAACGACAACAGAGTGAAACCACAAAACAACAGTCTGTTCTTCATCTGAACCACAACAGGAATACAGAGAGCTAGTCTAGTCAGTGCAAAACTCCTGAAGTGAGGAATACTGACTTAACTGTGTGTGTGTGTGCAGGGGTGTGTGTGTGTGTGTGTGTGTCACTGCACCACACACATGGAGCTGCGCGGGGGGTTGACTGTCCTGGCCACGGTGTCCTGGCTGTAGTTCACAATGTCTGCCTTCACTACACGCTGCAGGGAAACAGGGAAACAGAACACACGTACAGACGAGGTTTGATGGTGAACTGTACACATGTGGGAATGTAGAAAAGCCTTTGTCAACACTGATTTAAAAAGTCTAGAATCTAAGCAGAGCAAAAACGTGTTTGAGTCCCATGTTTTTCTAATGATTGACTCCAGTCAAGTCTCACTTTGATCTCTACAATAACTAATTCGACAGTAAACGGGCAAAAATTAAGTTTTTTTATTTACGTAAATATATTCTTAATTCTTCTGAGAACTTTTTTGAATGACTTCGCTTTTGACTCCACTGTCTCCAAGGGTATACTAATTATAATTGGATGGATGGATGGATGGATGGATGGATGGATGGATGGGTGAATAGATATATTCTTCTACACTTCTACTCTAAAAGTTCTAAACACATGACAACTACTACAACTGCCACTTCCTTCCTTGACTACAAGTCTTAATCATACATGTTTTTAAAACAAAAAAACAAAAAAAAAATCCAAGCATACATCCAACTTTCATACATGTTTTTTAAAAAAAACAAAAAAAAATCCAAGCATACATCCAACTACTGAACAGAGCAGATTTTACTCTGCTGTGGGATTTCTGGTCTAGCTGGACCTTCATCCTGTGGGTAGTTCACCAACTCAGCCTTTATGATCCTCTGGACGGGTTCAACACGTCACAGCGGCAGAGGAATGAGAGTGAGACAAGAACACACACACAAAAAAAATAACACAACAGTTGAAAATTAAGGATGAGGATGTTAAGATGAAAGGTCAGTGTGGAAGAAAATAATGGAAAGTGGAAAACAGACAGAAGATGAAGCAAAAGATCTGGTAAAAGCAGTATAGCCCAAAAAAACTTTTTTAAGGTAAGGATATTACTTAAATGATTGTAAATCTATCTATCCATCTATACCAGGGACACTCTTGTGTTACATTTCTGTTATATAACAACAGAAGAAGTCCACACGTGGCCGAGGACCAAACCTCCACGGCAGTCTGATTAACGAGCTGTCGAAGTCTGGTGTGACTCCAGTCAGTGAGCAATCCTCGGGCCTTTGTATCTGATCTCACACACACACACACACACAGAGCGAGCCCTGACGGAGAGGCCTGTGAGGCAGATGTAATACTGTCACAGGTCAGGACCCTGGTGTTCAGCTCTGTGAAGCTGACAGCTGATAATGAGGCTTGGTCGGCCTCACAGTTAGAGCCAGAGCCACGAAGAAGATCTCCAAGACTCAACTCTGTGTCAGGGACATAAATATACGTTGACTTTGTGGACCGGGTCAGACTGTCAGTCTGTAACTGCTGCAAACTTTTTTTCAGTCCTGTAGTACCCTTTAAAGTACTGCTATAACTTTAAGACCTTATCTTCTGCATCATATCTAGAAGTCATTCCAACTTAACTTCCAATTTCCCATGACTTCCTTCATCAGAATCAACCTGCCCCCTATCTGCTAACACTGGATTAAAGCACTTTCCTCTACTGATAGACTTATCAGGGGAGGTGTAAAGAAGAAAACTGATAAACGGCTCCATTACTCTGCGGTCATTTATATTTGGTCAGCAAGAAAAAAAAGTGAGCCTTGAGAATTCAGCCCGTCCTTCTCCTACATGCTCTCCCTTCTGTGGAGGTCCTGACCTCCACTGCAGCCCCCCAGGCTCATCAACTACGACCCAGCCAGAGTGGCTCCAACTGGTCATATCAGACCCAGGATTAATGCTTCTGTGGGAGGTGACCTTGTAAATTTTGCAGCTGCCACCACCGGGCACCGTGGTCTGGCTGGCAAGCCGAGAGCCTGCCGCGGCTGAAAAACAGCAGGAGATAATGGGGATAAATCAGAAGGCCGACTGTAACCTCCTCACCTTTACAACTGTCTACCTTTGACCTCTGACTTCACGCATTAACGTGCTCAATGTGGGTGTGTTTGCTGATGGGCAGCGTCCATGACAGGTAGCGCGTCACAGGAGGCAGACATAACAAACTCCTGTTTACACAACAGAAGGCCCTTTACAGTGTGTGGTGACCTCCAGTGACCTAACACACTCCACGTGACCTCTGCAAAGTTCAGGTATAGGATTACACAAAATACACAGCTGGGGTTCATCTGTAAATGTGGCTAACTTCCCCTTCTAAACTTTTGATGCAGACAAAAAAAAAATGTACCTGTGATTGTTCTATTTCTGCTTTGTTCAACTTTACACCAAGGATTTCAGCAGCGACTCTCTGGAAACAAAGGTAAACCTGAAGAAATGGATCAAGAGAGAAGAAAAAAAATCAAAATTAATAATGCACATTTTTAAATTTACCATAGTGTCAAATATTCCAATACACTGGAAACGGAGTTTACTAGTATTACAAGTTTAAAATATCACTCAATATCAAAGAGAATAAACTATGACTGACAGCAGACGGTGTGAAGTCTATATTTCTATGCAGATAAACGTATATATTTTATTTACACATTCTGTTGTTTCTTACTGACCGAGTCTCCAGTTTTGGCCGATACGAACTGACTGATGATTCCATTTTCTTGGCAGAAGCGCTGGTGTTTGTCCGCCTTCACCGTCCTCATGTGCTCCAGGTCGACTGTGGACAAGAAAAGCAGCGCGTGTAACAGTCACGTATTTGAACGTAAACAGAAAAAGGCAAGTGTTTACACTCTGGTTAAGATGGTGTGGATCTGCCTAATGTATGAGGGCCGTGCCAACAAAGCACCGTACAGTTGATATGTCACTTCAACCTCAGCTGCAGAGGCGACTCACTGTTGTGACATTTCACATGTAGAGGGAGTCACTCAAATTTTTTTTTTTTATGTTTGAGACTGGAAATGGCAATTTCTGCAGCCTTGAGTTCTTCTTTCCAGCTGGTATGAAAGGAAGACGTGACACATTCCTCAGTGCAGGCCTGGTACAGTTGCACCCCGGAGCCATGAACCTCTGTTTGACCCGAAAAACACAACCCAACCCAGCTGCAGAGAAATACTTAACAAACAATACATGGATGAGCAAAGACTTGGGGCGACACTCAGAGTGCGAGTGCGGATGGAGAAAACAGTTTGACGTATGAGTGTGGCGGCCCTTCAGGTGAGCACGGCGGCCACAGAACTGGGACTGTCGCCTTCCCGCTGATTTACTGGGAGCGGCACAATGACAGCATCTTCCTTTTTAGCTTTTGTAATGGCGTTCCTTTCTGTGCATTCGACTCCGGTGCACTGACACCGTGCACTCCTCTGCGCTCCTTCGGCGCGGGGTCACGCCGGGGTCAAACAAGAGGGTCACCTGGGGGTCTCTCCTCTGAAAGCAATAGCATGGCTTTTTATTTCTGGCATTGTGCAAAAAGGGCGGCCACACCCGCTATCTGGAGCATACAGGCTACTGTACGGTGTTGTGTTTCTCTCGTCCCCCCGAGTTTTTTGTCTTTGTGTTAGGTTTCATTGAAGTTGTCGAGGACTTGCCCTGTTCTCAGGCCCCTTTGTGTGTGTGTGTGTGTGTGTAACATTGTGCGGGGGGGGCAAGGGAGACCTCAGAAGCTGACAAAAGAAAAATATTCATACTTAGAGACTCATCGGAGAAGAAATATAAACATTACGCTGATCTAGTTAAGCTAACATTTTAGTCGGTTACACAACACAAAACTGATCTTTGACGTGGAAAAAATATTTTAACTGAAATTACCACCATAATAGGTGGCATATAAACACAAACCTTCTGGGCTGAGGACTGACACTTTTACAGCTCCTCAGCGTCCGGGCCAGACTGTCATGTCTGTGCCGACGTGTAAACAGAGCTGTCTTATAGGCGTCAGCAGGTTATTAATTCCAGTCATTAACAGAAGAGGTACCCAGCATGCTACTAGAAGTAAACATTACTAATCCTTTGGATCCTGCACACTTGGAAGAAGTCATCAATCACGTGTCACGGTCAGATTAACCCACATTAACACTGAGGCTCGGAAGCTGAGGGAAGGTACACTGTCACTGTAGGTAAAACTGGGGAGCGGTACAGCCTGTGAGTACAGTACAACCTCATTCTCACTGTACCATGTCAGAATCCAAAGACTTTTGAAGTAAGAGTATGTTAAACCTGCTGGCCCTTTCGGAATAAACTGCAATTAAAGATTCACCACCGCAGTCACTTTGGAATAAATTAAAGATTCACCACCGCAGTCACTTCAGTCAGATCATTAGACCCAGAAAACACAAATATTTCCTGTCGTTCATCAACTGCATATGCAGCGAAACCATCTCTGTATTCAGAAATGTTTTTTTATTTATAGGTTTTACCAAAGAAGGATGCTGAGAAAAGTTACTTGCTCCAAGGGCCTTTCAACTTTTATTTATTAAAAATAAACCAGGTCAACAAGAAACGTTCCCCCAAAGGTCCAAACTTACACATTTATAAGAAGCCGCTTTGACAAATAGGAAGGCTTTCACCATAAAGACCGCGTGGTGTGGCATTTGAAACAGCTACTGGCCTTGACCTTGCGGCGGCAGTGTTTGGTTAGCATGCACCATGCTACATGACATGCTGTGCTTTGTACGTGTTTCTGATATGAGGATGCTCATGCAGTTCCCTCAAAAAAAAAAAAAGAAAACCCGCAAATGGGCTCGAATTCTCACACAGGAATTTAGCAACATGTGGCATCTATCTGTGTAAAATGAATACAAGGCTAATCCCAGAGTTTCAGTGTTATGCTCCATTTTTCTCCCTAATGTACCCATTTCTACTTATCAGGTCAAAACTATCTGCCTCAGATGATCTGGTTTCCCTCTGTTCCTGTCAAACTGTACATCAGCTTAACAGCCCCTAGGAAGTGACTGCAAACATGAACTAAACTGTTTAGGCCTCGGCGCAGAGATAGTGGAGGGGATCATCACTCGTCTCCCTCCGTCTGGTCACCGTCATTGTTTATTTAAGGGGATTGCCTGTCACTACAGAGAATTGCAAGACAACAAAAAGAAGGATTTAAATCTGGAGATAAACTGTGCCTTTTACCACAACAAAAAAATGTGTTATTTTAGTCACTTGTTACACAAATAGAAACAAAAGTTTAATCTTAATAAAACATGAACGCACTTCACCACAACTGAGTGGTCATCTTAGCTTCATGGAAAAACATTTTTTTAAACCTCACTGTCTCACCTTCACTATCATAAAGAAGCAGAGGAACCTTTGGACAACCATTAGAAATACGTACTTGGTTTGGTTTGTTTGTTTGTTTGTGATTGGCCAATAATGGACTTTGTATCTTATTACAAATAAAAAGGGCTACATTTGAGAAGGTGGAGAAAATAAATAGCATCTTGGTGAGATATTATTGGTTTCAAATTTCTTGATGGCAGTGAGTGCAGTCTTTACACACAACATACCAGTTTTGTTTACAAAGTTTAGATTTTTTTATAATGTTTTTAGACATAACATAAATTTATACAGATTTTTTTTATGTACTGTATAGTTTTATATATCTTATCTTTTCAATGGTTTCAGGGAGGGGGCGTCCATCGTGGTTTTATTTAGACTTGCTAACAGATTTTGCTAAGAAAAAACAAAAGGCTTTTGGCATTACATTCATATATACATTTGGGGTTTTAAAACAACTTAACGCTCTGCCAGAGTGGATTCTTAGGACCAATAGGAAAAGCTTTCCCAGCCAACAGCAGCCAAAGAATAAGGTTGACATTACACAGGTAATTGTCAGCAGTCTACCAGTGTGTGTTGTGGGGAGTGTCCAAGCGTCTGTGCTTGGTAGTAATGGCTGGGCGTGTGTGTGTGTGTTGTCAGAGTCTTGGGGCTCAGAGAGGTCATATCTCATTGAGTGAAAGTTACAAGGTAGAATATAATCAACCCCATGGGAGAAGCTATCACTTCCAACATTACCTCACTCTACACCTTTAACACCCTGTAAAGAGGGTTTGCCCTGATTACGAATGTGAACCGTGGCTTCTAAGACCGGGTCCAGGTCCTGATGAAATGACTCATAAATCTGTGAGAGGATAGTTCAGCATGCACCACTAAGTTTGAAAGATCCCAGAGTTATCCTGAAGGCACGACTTTATGAGGCTTAAATTTGATATTGATGCAATCGTGGAGAATATCGTTTTTTTTTTTGAACTTTATGAGGCTTAAATTTGATTTTTTTTTTTTTGGCATCCAATTTAATTTATACATATCGACCATAATGCTCCATTTGGAGGCACCTAAATGTTTCTTAAATTCCATTCCAACGGTTACAAAGGCTTATGACCCACACGTTTACTTGCTGTAACAACCATAAGTGAACAATCATCACCTGAAAATGTCCAGACCTCACTTTCCAGGTTTCAGAGGGCCCAGTAAACTTTACATTGCTAATGTCAATTGATGACATGTAGTTTAAAATTAAATTAAATTATTATTCAATTTCTAGGGTTTTTTCCGATAGACGCACACAAATGTTTTTGCGTACATATCAGAGTAATTTTTCTTCAGATAATGAAAAAACAATAAACTAATGCCTGGATTTCATCAAAATGCCATGAGACGTAACAAATGAAAGACTATCAGTGATGCAGGAGGAACCACAGTGGTTCGTCAATAAATGAAGGCTGCTGGTCAAGTCCATTAACGCACTAAAACAAAGCAAAAGCAAGACGACCTTCCTTCAGTACTTCAAAACAACAGACCTACTTCAAACCTTGTCCTCGGACCACCACGACACAAGTAATGGGCAGGGTAACCCTGTGGGGTAAAATAATGATTATGACTGTTGGTTACTGCATAAAACAGTTTTGCATGAATTTGTGCAATTGCCATCAGTGAATAAAAATTGTCTCATGTTTTCCTGGTCAGATATTGTGTACTTACAAAATGCTGGAACTACAAAAATATGCAGTATTCTGTCAGGAAATATAAAAAGCTAATGTTGGTAGTAAAATTCAGTAATTCCGCAGTCGTCAATGGGCTGCTGAGTAAAAGTGCACCGTCAGGTATTCGTCTGATGGAGGTCATTAAACGTTATGAATACAGCGCACTGTAATTTCAAATGGGCTTTTGTACAGCAACAAGTTGCAATTGTCAGCTCGTCCAATCGACACACACGGAGCATTTCACACTCAATTTAAAGACAATGTTTATATCCCTTTATATTATCATACCGACTGAAATATTGTGCATGATTATTATGAACATCTTGCGTTCTACTTCATGAGAAAGATAGTGCTGCTCTTTTGGACTCCTTTGTGTACAACAGGGGGAAAGTGTAGCAGTTCCCCTTCTAAAAAGTTTCAGCAAAAGTATTACGGATGATTCGGTGTAATGTTTGATTGAATCAGACATGTTATTTAACATGTCAACAACAACCCTGGCCAATAAAACAAATGACCAGTGCAATTTATGTGAAGCACTGGAGTGAAAAAGAAAAAAGAAAAGCACAGAGCCGGCTGCTCTACATGACTAAGAGCTCGTAAACAGTGAGGGTTTTTGAAATATGAATATATAAAATGAAATGTGAACAGCTAAAATTATGAACAGGGTTATGAAATCTATACAATAACTACTTTTCCTCCTCAAGAGAAGCCTGGGCAGGTCCCAAGTGCAGGAGTATGTTGC